TCACATGAACATTTAAAAATTACCCTGTTATGACTTTTTTCTAGTCCCTGTCTAGAACTTGTAATGCTAATTACTCTTGCCTTTACTTCTCCTTCACATCTCCTACTGAAGAACTTTATTTTCCCCCTAGAGATAAGAGTTATGCAATTTGGGAGTCTTTTAGATAGATCCACTGAAGGCGTACTCTCACTGCCCCACCCTGCATCCCTGTTCAGCATGGAAGAAGCCAGAGCGGTCTGTATCCCTATTCCCTACTGGTAATTTCGGTAACCCTTTCAGAAGATGGTGTGATAAGAATAGGAGGTAGGAACTGGCTAGGCAGTTAGGGTAAAAAGACTCCAAAGAAAAGTAGCCAGTTTCTTGACTAAAAGTCAAAATGTCCTTGGGACTGTTCCAAAGGCCAAAAATGTCAAAAGTATTTGGGAGCTTGTATCTAATCCTTAAAAGATTTTAGGATTATCTCTTTGGGGGGGGAATGTTAGAGTACCCAAAAGCCCCATAAAAAATGAATAAATGCAAGAAGAAGAAAAAACAAAAAAGAAAAAATTGATGGGGATCCACGGAGGGTGTTGGAAGGGAGGGCGAGGACATGGATTTGAGCAAAACACCTCATATGCATGTATGAAATTCTCAGTAAAGTTTTTGTAAAAGTTTGAAAAAAAAAGTTTACTACATCACTTCCCAGATATATTTAAAGCTATTTCTTACCTTTGAAAGGTAAGTCATCCCTTGGTATCTACAGGTGATTGGTTCCCAAAGATACCAAATATCCAAGAATGCTCAAGTCTCTTTCAAAAAATGACATGCTCCTGTGTTTTAAATCATATACAAACATTGTAAATTTATTTGTGCAATGTAAATGTTGTATGCACAGTTGTTATTCTTGTTATATAGGGAATAACAACAAGAAAAATAACTTGTATGGGCACAATTAAAAATATTTTTAGCCAGGAGTAGTGGTGCATGCCTTTAATCCCAGCACTCGGGAGGCTGAGGCAGGCAGATCTCTGTGAGTTCAAGGCCAGGCTGGTCTACATAGTGAGTTCCAGGCCAGCTGGGACTACAGGGAGACCC